ACATGCGTACACACACACACAGACACGTTCGCGGCAGCACCTCTTGATGTCGAGAAGAAGTGCACAGTGTTCAGTCGCTTTCTTGAACTCGTCCAACGCACGCTGATGATGGTAGGATTGTAGTGATGATGATAGTCGTGGTGTGGTGTCAGGGTGATGAAAGTGTCAGGTACAACAATACGGCTGCAGTGGGCGCGAGGAACCACCACAACGGCGCCAGACAGCACACGCACACGCACACACACACACACATACGAGCACAGCACGCATCATTCGCACATTTCAACCACGTATTCGCAATACCTTAAACTGCGTTGATTCGTAGGCCTCAAAGACACGAATGTCATTCTAACAACAAACAAACAACACCATCAACAAGACAATGTTGTGAGTTATCCACTGCTGTGCATGCACATAGAACATGCGTGTCGGTGTCCAGACACACACGCACACACGCACATTCACGGCTGACCTCTCGTGCGCCGATTCGGATGAGACGAAGCATGTCCGAGAACTGCGAGAAAATGACGACTTTGTTCCAATGCCCGGTTGGTTTTGAAAACACGCGGCGCAGAGCACGTAGCACCTCGCACACCTTCGAGCTGTGTCCGCCTGTTGTGTCAGCCATGTTGGGTTAGTGATGAGCGGCAGCACAACGGTACGAAGGAAGTTGGATGTGTGTGTGTGTGCGTGTGTGAATGTGTGCGTGCGTGCGTGTGCATGTGCGTGCGTATGCGTGTGTGTGTGCGTGTGTGTGACGCGCAGTTATCGTGTCAACCAACACGAGTTGTGTGCACGCATACGCACTGGCTTGGGTGCATCATATGGACGAGCAAACACATTGAGGGAACATCGCACACCACGTGCACATTCACACCTTCAATGACAATATCCGCGAGGTCTTCGGGCTTCGACGACCTGCCCTGTGCATCACCATCACCATCACCACCGTCAGTCCTCCTCGTGCGTGCGCGTGTGTCCACGAACTGAACGGAGCGCTCATTGCAGACGGTGCGGCAGATGGGACATTTGGTGCTGGCAGGACGGCACATACGCACGCGTGAGAGCGTGTGTTTGGGTGGGGGAGTGCATGTGCATGTTGAGTTGAGTGTGCGTATGCAAGGGGGTGTGTTTGTACTCCACTGTGTGAGTGAGTCAATGTGATGCAGCGGTTGATGATGATGATGATGATGATGATGATGATGATGATGATGATGATGATGATGATGATGATGATGACGATGATGATGATGATGATGATGATGATGATGACGACGACGACATCTGGGTGTCGATCGTCAAACGCAATGCGTGGTGTGGACGGCAATCCAACACAATCACGGCCCATCATCGTGCCCACCACACCCTCACACATAATGTCATGTGTGTACCTCTACCTTGTCTTGTTGCGAAAGAGCTCTTTCCAGCAATCGAAGCAGAAGCAATGGCCGCACAGCCAAACTGTCTTGCAGTCCCCAAATCCGCCGTGACACACAGTGCACTTTGTCTCCTGTGTGTGTGTGTGTGTGTGTGTGTGTGTGTGTGTGTGTGTGTGTGTGTGTGTGTGTGTGTGTGTGTGCGTGTGTGTGTGTGTGTGCGTGTGTGTGTGTGTGTGTGTGCGTGCGTGTGCATGTGTGCCCATGTGCGTGTGTGTGCATGTCCACAACCTCGCCGATGGTGCGAAGATACGTGACGCGCCCGCGGTTCCGCGCGAGAGCCATGCGGGCCGTGACGAGCTGGGATGCGTGGCTGAAGTCGATCAGATAGGGCCAAGCAGGCAGACACACCATTGCACCAGCAGCGATGCCACACACGTATGAGTAACGGTGGAAAATGAAAATGAAGGGGGAATCCAGCGGGAAGGAGGGAGCATGTGATTGTTCGTATGGCGGCATGCTCAAGCAAACACACCCGGCACTGTGACACTCACGCTGCACGCTCCCATTCGATGTTTGTGATGAATCCGGGCTGAGGTGACACGCCCGGCGGGAGCAACTTGAGGCGCTGAGTGCATGATGCAATCTGCATTGTGTGTGTGTATGTATGTGTGTGTGTTCGTTGTTGAGTGGGGGGGGGGTCCGCAGCTGTGTCACAAAAACCACGTCATGCGCATGCACACCACACCAACCAATACGCGCATTTCAGCGTTGGTGTCGTTCCATCGTACGCACGTCATCGAGGACTGAGAACCGCTCGTCCAGCGCTTGCGAGAGAGAATTGAACGTGAAAAACTCCTGCATGCATGGGAGGATGGATCCATGGATGGATTGGGATTGGTGGTGTTGGGGCGGCGCTGTCGGGGGGGGGGGTACAAGAACGTACAGCGACACACGTGTACAGACCAGACACACACACACACGCACGCACGCGTGCACACACACACACACACGCACGCGCGCACGCACGCGTGCACACGCATTCGTACCTTGCGCAGGCTGTCCATGGTGTTGGCGCCGGAGACGGGGATGCCGTGATGGCGCGCCTGATGCACGAGAAAGTCAAACACAATGTGCAGCTGGCTCTTGTGCTGACGACACGAATTGGTGCATGAATAGATGGTGCATGAATAGATGGTGTGTGAGGGCACGTGAAGATAGCGAGGCCCGAGCACGAAAGATGGCTTTCACAGCGCAGCGGCAGCGGACATGCTGATCCTCGCAAATACCGTCGTGATGCAGCATCATGATGCAGACAGTGGACAGACTCCTCACATACACGACCCCACCCATGCCCCCCTCCCTCGCCTCAATGTCCATTACGACCAACCCTGTTGTGATCGTTATAGTACATCTTGTCAACGTCCGTGCGTGTGCCAGTTCGGCGATCACCCATTGGCTTCGACGTAGTCCACCCTGCAACCACACACACACACATACAGACACACGCACACAACGCCCGCGCGTTGTTTGAGTTGACAAGCAGTAACCAGAGGTCAAGAAATCATGGGGTACCGGGGGTGAGTGGTGCTTGCAAGCACAGAAATGCTGAACCATGAACAACAAGAACATGGCAAGCACAACAATTAGCCAGCACTCGTCACAGCTAACCCAACTGGAGTCGAAGCATGTACACCTCTCACCCTTTTCGACGGATCGCTTTGCATTCGCAAAGACATGTGGTTCGTACTCGTGCATGGGGTTGCGTGCCAGACACAGGACGCAGTCACCACCGCTCTGTCGCACGTTGTGGCGGCGGTGGCGGCACGAAGGGCACGTCACAGCTGAACGCGCAGGCAACACGCGCACGCACATGTGCATGTGGGCGAGTTTGTGAATGGATGCATGTTTGTGAAATGAGTGGTTCGTGTACATGCGTAAGGTACAGATCCCCGACACAACGACGTTCAATTGTGAATCAACAGTGAAAATCATGAAATGGGCATGTGTGACCCACCATGTTGCACTTGCTCCGGTGTTGGATTCGGCAGGAGAGGAAAGAGCGCCCCCTTCACTGCTGAGCGCAAATCAAACAGTGTGTTGACCTGAATCGCCCACAGAAACATGCACAAAACAAAGGTGGCATGCGTGAACATTACATATGCGTGAGCACGAAAGCACTTATGCTTGAGCACCAGGTACAGGCGTGCACACACACACACACATGCACACACGCACGCGACGAATGCAACCCTGACCTCCATTGTGAGGAGGGCCATGAGACCGTCGACGGAAGACACGTGCGAGAACGGCGTGAACTTGCATCGCGTCGTACGCTCGCTCAGGAACGAGTGCAACTGATACACATGTGAGGGGGAGCATGAAATATAGGGAGGATGAACAGTTGTGTGTGTGTGTGTGTGTAATGTGTGTACATGTGTGCATGTGTGTGCATGTGGATAGCTCTTTGGCGAGATGTGAGGCAAGGCCAACCAAGTTAGGCTGCAAAGAATGCCAGCAGTACGCAAGCAGTGCAAACACGCACACACACACACGTTCGTGACAAAAGTGCTCTCGAGAAAGCGTTCCGAAGCCCTCAGCTGCTCGATCCAGGACACCATACTGGTCAGCAAGGTGTTCTTGTCGATCTTCTTCTCCAGCTGTGAGCAGCAACCGGTGGCATGCACACTTAATCGCATGTCTCAAGAAGCGCCAACATGTGCCACCATCATCATGGTGTTTTTCACAGCATGTTCTGCCCAAACACACACACACGCACGCACGCACACACACATACACACACACGCAAACGTACCGTGTCGAGAGTGGTGCGTTCAATCTGCACGCGCAATGTTGCATCATGTGCAATGTGCTGACGCAATCGCGACTGCATGGCTTCCAGCTCGTCTCTTCGCAACAGTGCAGAGTCATGCTGCACTGGTTGGTGGTGCTGTTGCTGGTGGTGCTGGTGCTGGTGGTCATGTAGTTGTTCTTTGTCGCCGTTTTGCTGCTGTTGCTGTTGCTGCTCGTCATTCATCTCGTTGAGCACGTCGAGGTAGTTGGTGACGGCGTGGAGACACTGATGAGGACAAGCGAACAAGAGAACAGGCGGAGGTGAGCACAGTGTCGCAGGGATGAACAGAACACACACACACACACACACACACGCACGCAGACAAAGACACACCCACGCGCCCGTGCACACACGGACACACACACAGACACACAGACACATACGCACACACATAAACGAATCCACACTGAATGGGATCACCCACCGGAAGGCGGTCGCATGAAAACTCCTTTTCGAAGCGAAGAAAATATTCAATGACCTCTTTGTAGTGACCAAGGGCTGCCGAAAGGGAGAGGTTGAACGAGGTGGGGGAAGGAGAGAGGTGGGCATGGTTGTGAAAGGAGGTTGTGACAGTATTAGCCATGCAGGCTGATGCACAATGTGTGGAAGTTGGGAGAGGGTTGAGTTGAGGTGAGGGTGCGTCCTCCCCCACGCGCTCTGTGTGTGTGTGTGTGTGTGTGTGTGTGTGTGTGTGTGTTTTCACCTTTCTTTGGATCGTGTTCCAGCAGAGCGATGCCGGCAAGAGCATTCAACGCAAAGCCTGAATAGCACATGACCATTGCAGTAAAATCACATCCAAACACGCAACACACGCACACGCAGACACAGTCACATCACAAGTGGGAAATCCCGAATACGTGCGTGAAGACGCGTTGCACGTCACACAGAAATGAACCCACATCAATGCCACGTCAACATCCACACAAAAGCGCATGTGCTTTCGCGTTCGCCTTACAGAGTTCACGCAACGATTCGCTGCAGTCAAGCGTCGCCTTGTACACCATCTTTGGGGGAGGGGCAAACGAGCAGGTGCGCACGTGAGTACGTGAATAAGCGTGTGTGTTGTGCATGTGTGTGGATGTTAAGTGGTGTGCCAAGCATGTACAGACTTGAGCATGGATATGTTTGTGCAGCTGTACGCGTGTGAATGTGCGTTAGTGTGAGGATGTGTCTCACGTCTGCATACACCCAAAGTGCGGGTACAACCCACCTCCTTCTGCACATGCTGCATCGAGTGCGTCGTCGTGGTCTTGCGGAGGCGAAGGCCGGGAATGTTCAGCGCACTTGGATGACAGCACGCCTTGCGCAGGTCTGATGGCGACCCAATAGTCGTGATGATGATGATCATAACGATTGGCACATCGGCGAATGGGACAGTGGAATGCCAAAGCGCACGAGAGGGGAATCCACATGTTGCGATAGACAAGCAAACACCAAACACACATGCGACCAGCACAGATAGCCATGTCCACGTCGGCAACCCCACAATGAATGACGTGACAAACAGCACCGTACCGAGCATGGGCTGCAAGATGGCCTTGTACGCGCGTGGATGAAGTTCAGACAAGTGCAAGCCTTTGTCCAGTCTCCGAGCAGCCTGACACATGCCAGAGACGCCAGAGAAGGTACAAATGAGCATCGTGTATGTGTGTGGTGAGTGCATGTGTAATGTGTGTGGTGTGTGCGTGTGGACATGTGCGTATGTGCATGTGTGTGGTGAGTGCATGAGTAATGTGTGTGTGTGTGTGTGTGTGTGTGTACTCACTCTGCTGACGCGCGACTTGCATTCCTCCAGGATTTGATTGTAGCAGTAGCGCTCCAGTTCGGAGAAGCGGAGGGTGTGGCGGCTGAGCAGGGCCGATGCAGTGTGGTTGGCGAGATGCGCTGTGACCATGGAGCAACGAACGCTCATTGATGTTCTACACAAAAGCGCACGTGTACACTGAAGCACACGCCACAACATATGCACATGCACACGCACACACGCACACACACACACTCACTCACACAGACACTCTCGCACGCACACACACACACACTCACTCCAACGCACACACACACACGGGCTCACATGACTGATTGCGGCGGGAGCTGAAATTCATCCTTGACATCCTCTTTCGTGGATCGCCACGCAAATGACATCACAAGACGCTGAATGTCGTGTGAACCATCAGGAAGCAGCTGGTTTCGGTCACAGACGTATGCGTCGAACATGCGCGGTGTGCCCATGTCAATGTCGAAGAAGCCAAAGATGCCAAACAAGTCTGACACGCTTGTTGTCATCGGCGTTCCCGTCACGCACCACCGATTCACAGCCTTGAAGTTCCTGCACAAGCGTATGTGTGTGTGTGTGTGTGTGTGTGTGTGTGTGTGTGTGTGTGCGTACGCGCGAGCATTGCGTTCATCGTACAGGGACAAGTAACATGCACGACAGCAGCGAAGGCAGCGAAGGCCAACACCGGTGCACCACATGTCATGGACCTTACCACGCCATCTCTGTGGCCTTTTGCGTGCCCATCTCAATCATTTGCGCCTCGTCCAAGCAAACGCGCCACCACTCCAGCAGCATCAGCGGACTGTACGCAACGAAAAAGCAGAGAGATGACAGGAGGGCACACGTGAGTGCTGTGAGGGTGTAAGCGGGGAATTTGACATTGCCACCGACAATGCTTACAGAACTGCTGTCTCACACACTGGCACACACACACACACGCACACATTCACACATGCATACACGCGCACTTACACACACACACACACACACAACGCACCACATGTATGTGCGCGGCTTGCTGCTGGTTCTGCGTCGGGTGCTGTGTCGCGGATTCTTGAACGCTTTCCAAAAGTGGATATCATCACGCAGCACCTGCACGCAGACACACGCACACGTACGCAGCCACACACACATATATGTGTGCAATTGTGAACAGAAATGGATGGGTTCAAGTGTGAGGTGAAACTGGAGACATGTGTCGGTACTGAAATCACCATCATCTCCCGCTTCCTTCCCCTTCCTTCACGCTGCCATGATCAAGACCACTGTTACCTTGTACGTTGTCACGACAATGTCGTATGTTGCGACGATTGCGGGGTGAAGAGAGCCAAGCTTCTTTGCGCCCGTGTAATCGAGAATGCGCACAGCTGTCGGCTGAGTTGTGTGCGAGGTGCGCGAGGAATGATGTGACGCGGCATGATACAGAGCAGTGAACGCTGCAACGATACAATAGAGCATGTCCACAGACACATTGGAAACCTATTCACACAGGTCAGGAAACAGACAAACAAACTGGCAGGTACACGCACACAACCACACACACACACACACACAACCACACACACGTACACGCACGCACACACACACACAACCACACACACGTACACGCACGTGCGCACACAACCACACACACACACACACAATTCACACTCACTGCGTTGCGTTTGACTTCGTCGCACCACTGCGCACAGATGCGCGCTGGTGATACGATGAGTGTGGAATTGGCAACGAGGTGCTCCTGTTTGCGCAGACAATCTGTGCAGAGCACGTGTTCGCGCGCAATCAACTTTCGTGTCTCAGCATCAATGTCGTGGGTGTACAGCACAAAGGGAACACTGCACTTTGCGCAATGCCACTCATGTGGACCCAGTTTCTTCTGTTCGACAGCAGTCATGGACGCAGGTGCCACTGCTGCTTGAAACGGCACCACGGCCGCTGCTGTTGTTATCATTGCTGTTGTTGCTGTTGGTGTTGAAAAGGGCACCACTGTAGGCACATGTGCTGTTGTCATTGTTGCTGTTGCTGTTGGTGTTGAAAAGGGCACCACTGTAGGCACATGTGCTGTTGTCATTGTTGCTGTTGCTGTTGGTGTTGAAAAGGGCACCACTGTTGGCACATGTGCTGTTGTTGTCATTGCTGCAGGTGGTGCTGTTGTTGTCATTGCTGCTGTTGCTGTTGGTGTTGAAAAGGGCACCACTGTTGGCACATGTGCTGCTGTTGTCATTGCTGGTGCAGCTGTTGGTGTTGACATTGCTGGCACTGATGTTGGTGTTGTCATTGCTGGCACTGATGTTGGTGTTGTCATTGCTGCTGTTGCTGTTGGTGTTGGAAAGGGCACCATTGCTGGTACATGTGCTGCTGTTGTCATTGCTGGTGCTGACGCTGATGTTGGTGTTGCATAGAGCATCGTTGAAGCTGTTGATGGGTACGTGTTGGTTGAAACGCCATATCCATGGCCATTCATGCCATCGGCATCCCTTTGCATCCAGTTCATATTCGTATTGTCCTCGGTTGCTCGTTCAAGTCCCTTCGCTTGTGCCTTATCTTTTTCTTTCCCTTTTCCCTGATCTTCTTCCGCTTCTTGCAAATCCTTCTCCTCCTCTCCTTCGTCATCTCCTTCATCGTCATTGTCATCATCACCATCATCGTCATCATCGCCATCATCACCCCCGTTGCTCGGGCGCGGGTGCAGCAGCACGAGTCCAATCACTTCGAGCGTTTTGCCAAGTCCCATCTCGTCAGCGAGCAGACCGCCACGCACGCGCATCCGCCACTCTGGCGCAGCGATTGTGGCCATTTTCACGCCGTAGCGGTGGAACCACAGCGTGTTTGGCGCATCGCCCTTGATCTCCACCCAATACGGGTGGCTGCAACGCAATATATTGGTTGTGAATAAACGTGTGTATTGTGTGTGTGAATGCGTGTGCGAGTGTGTATGTGAGTGCAGAGATTGTGTGAGTGTGTGTGTGAATGTGTGCGTGTGTGTGCGTGTGTACGTGAGTGAAACAGATACATGAACGTGTCCTTGAATGCGTTGGCCCGCACGTTACTCATACGCACATCATGGGTATGTCGACGGGGTTGCGTTCCTGCTCCGCCATCCAGTGAATCGCACGCAACTGGTACGTGTTGAGCTGGGGACCAATGCCCGGTGGCTGTGTGTGTGTGTGTGTGTGTGTGTGTGTGTGTGTGTGTGTGTGTGTGTGTGTGTGTGTGTGTGCAGCCCAAACTCATGCACATACCACATGCGCTCATACAAACACCCTTGCAGAAGACACATACGCAACGCACCTGCTGCACGGTGCTGGTGTATGATCGTGCGGTTGCTCTCATGGCGTTGTGAACCTGTTCTACGCTGACGACAGGCGTGTCCTGAATCTGGCTGTCCATGGGTTGTAGATTGTAGGACAGCGCAGCGGCCAGCGTGCGGTCCATGTGGAAACTCTGTTTCGTATCGTCGAGAAGCACGTGGATGACAGTTGGGTTTGACTGCAGAGGCACATGTATGCAAGGAGAGGGTGGGGGCACAAAGGTCGGTGAGGGAAGTTGGGGGGGGGCAAATTGGTGACAAGCACACAGCACACACACCACACACACACACACACACACACAACACACACACACACACACACACACACACGCACGCACACACACGCACACATCACACGCACACACACGCACACACACACACATCACACACACACACACGCACACACACACACACGCATGCACACACACGTGCGTGAGCACCTTGGCCATGACAAAGCTGGCGTTGAGTCTGAGCAAGGGCAGCATCATCTTCATGGCAAACTGCGGCAGCAGGCCAACGTGCTCCCAGCGTGAAGCCAGACGGGACTTCAAGGTCACGCACTGCATGAAGGCGCGACCGCACTTGGCGGTGTACAGCTCTTTGCGCTCCTGGCGAAAGCGCTTCCATCCCGAGGTAAGCAGCTTGCCGTTGTTGGCTTCCATGTACACATCCAACTCCGGCCTGCTCGCATCTTGCAGTGCAGCATCCAAACACTGCTGCCATCGCCGTTCGGTCAAACGGTCCGTGTGGAGGATGTGCACGTGGCCGTAGCACGCTTCGTGCTCCTCGTCCTCGCCAACCGGCATGTCCTGCAAGACGCGGATGGTGATGGGCTGGCCATAGCACCTGCGAAACAGCTTCCGTTGGCGGCGTTCCTTGTGCGCCTGCTCAAGCGGGTTCAGCGCTTGCTTGGCTGGTGGGCTGGTTTTCGGTTGTTTGGGCTTGGGCGCGCCCCCAGCACTCGTCCGTGTCATGGCAGCGCTTGTGCTGCTGGTGCTGGTGGCGGTGTTTGTGTTGGTGCTGGCAGCAGCTGGCGCCGCTGGGTCGCATGCTCGCTGCTGCTCTGCAAACGGCAATTGCTGTTGGTTGTTTAAAGGCATTGACCACGCACCCACGGCACTGCCCACAGCCATGGCAACACTGCCATTGTAGGCATCCTCATCGCCGTCATCATCATAAACATCGTCGTCGTCATCGTCGTCAATAACCACTACATTGTCGTCGTCGCTGCCGCGGTCCTCGTCAATGACAACGACTGAGCTTGGCTGCGGTGCGCTGTCTGCAGCTGCTGATGCTGTCGCTGTGGTCTGTGTGGCTGGTGTGGTTGTTGGAACAGCTGCTGCCGAGGGTGCTGATGTGGGAGGAGGTCCCTTTGTACCGCCAGCAACCAGCACTTCCTCCGTCTGGTTCTCGGTGTTCAGCTGCTTTGGCGCAGCTGCCTTGCGTCGTGGCATGGTCAGCCACCGAGCGTGTTGATGTGAGTAGCCGATCAAGCAGTCCCTGTGCGACTGCTGCCTGGCGTGCACTGCACTGCTGCCCTGTGACTGTATTGGTGGCCCGTGTGCTCTGCGTGCGCTGGCGCTGGCGTTGTCGCTGTCGTGGTGCTTGGGGTGATACAACAAACAGAGAAACAGTAAGGAGACTGCTGGCTGGTTGCTTGTGGTGCTTGGTGGACGGAAATGTGTCTCTTTGGCTTTCTCAAACCGGGCGCGCCAAACACAAACAACAGCAACAAGCTCTGCCGCGCAAAATTCAAATCGCGTGCATGCACGCAATTTTTTTTTTTTCGTTCGAATGGTTCACAGGTGCTGTTGATTGCTCATGACACCAAGCTTCATGCATGAGAAACATCAACCTCGCCCACTCCTCGCCTTGGCTCTCTTCAGCCAGTCGGGGTGTCCTTTATTCCCGGCTGTGCGGGTGTTAGGAGCTGTTGCGCCGCGATGAGCGTGCGTGCGTGAGTGTGTGTGTGTGAGTGTGCGGTGTGAGCGAGCTGCGAGGAACATTTCTTCTGCTCCCTCGACACAAACACCACAAGCCTGCCTACCTGCCAGAGCATCCACACCAGCTTCGCACTCATCGACCGACCAGCCAACTGGACCCACTTCAAGAAAGAGCAGTAGGCACACCAAGAAGCGAGCAAGCAAGAAGCAACACCAACAGGCGAGCATGGCACCGAAGCAGGAAGACAGCGGCCTCCCCGTGGTGGTGTTCTATCCACTGAGGCGCATTGGAAACCGCAACTACAGCGTGGAGCGGAAGCTGTGGGTGGTGCGCAACGCGCTCACCCGCTACCACAAGCCCAGCCCATCGGCGGTGGTTGCAAACTACTACAAGCCATATGGCGCGCTCGCGGCCCTCAAGAACGCCGTGGCCGAGGCCAACCAGGGCAAGGGCGTTCGCGTGCTCATCGTCTGCCACGGCTGCAGGGTTCGCCCCGATGGCGTCCAGTAAGTGGATTCATCTGCTTGTGTTTGGGGTACTGTGGTGGTGAATGCGCTCTGTTTGCTTCGACAACACATCCACACACATCCACACACGCACACACACACACGAACACACACACAAACACTCACACACACCCACACACACCACCCCTGCCTCTTCAACACCCCACCTCACACGCCGTCTTGCCTCTTCTGCGTGTGAACATCCTCACCAGACTAAGCGACGGCCGTGACATGTACCTGCACCGCGGCGACATCATGAACGCCATAAGCGAAGGCGTGGGGAAGAAAGGCGGCAAAGGCTACATCTACGCCGCCTGCTGCCACAGCGCTGACGGGGATGACACACCATTCGTCACCTCGGGCAACAACGTCGTGTACAACGGCTTTGGCCTCGGCAAAGGCGCCTTTGTGCCCACCGTTCGCCGTGCTGTTCGTGCCATGTAAACAAACCCACTAGCCCACACTGCATGCGGCTCCACACAAGTGCCTAAGTGCGAGCCCTCTGCCCCTTCAACAACAATCCCTTCGCCCCTGCCAATCCTTGGCTTCCTTTGTCTGTCTCTTGAGGCGCAGCCACTAGTTTTTTTGTGGTTGTGTTCATTGTGTGCGTGTGTGTGCTGTGGCAAGCGCCACTAACCCCCTGCCTCCATTGTCAGCGACAAGCTGCACGGCGATAAAATGAACTGCACTGCTTTGGCAATTGCGGTTTGTATCCATCTCGCATACACGAAAACGACCCTCAAAAAGCAATCATGCACATCAGACACGAAGCAACAGGGGAGAAAGAAGCAAACACGCAAAAGGAGGGCGAGACAGCACACACACACACACACACACACACAACGTTCACCATGGACAAAGTGTACAGAAACACAGAAGAAACAGCACAGACGTCAACCAACCAAAGCAAGGACAGCAAACACACACACACACATGTACAAGGGAATGTGATCATGGGATGGTGGTTCTCTCCTTGATTGCGCCGGTGAGGATGGTGTTGATGCTGTCGGAGAGCGGCACTTTGCGGTAAAATTTCACCAGCGCCTGGCAGGATGTGACAGCAGCGGCGCAGTGCGTGAGGTGACGCGAAGGAGCGAGGCACAAGCATTGGCATCCATTCTTGTGGGCGAGCACAAAGGAGGGCAATAAACAGACAGACAGACAGACAGACAGACAGACACACCTCGACGCTGTCGAAGGAGAGGGGTTTCGCGAGGCCGTAGAGGACGCCATCATACAGCACGGGGATGTGCTTCACCTCACCGTCATACCTAGGGAACGCAACGCACCAATGGTGACTCGTTGGCAGGTCACAAGCGCAAGCAACATTGGCAACACACACACACACATGCGCACAAACACACGCACACACACACACACACGTGCACACAAACACACACAGAGGCATGGAGAGCGCAACGTACACAACATCCATGGTGTAAGGGTGACCGCGCCCACTCTTGCGGACGAGGAAGGTTCCCACAGGCTGCCCTGCCAAGTAGCGCTGCAACGCACGCACAACACATGGTGGCGAGGAAATGGGCGGTGAGGACCGCAGGCACCAGACACACACAGACACACGCAGACACACACACACACACACACACACAGACACACATAGACGCACACACGTAGACACACACACACACACCTTTGCGTCTGTGCGGCTGATCTGGCCGAGGTAGTACATGGCGAGACCGGACTGCTGGGGAGCAGCGGCCGGCGGTGGACGAGCAGGCGCCGCCTCCTCACGCTTCTAATGGGAACACACACATATGGCTGTGAGCTTAAGTTCAATGCTGGCGTCGACAACAAAGCCAAACAAAACTATTAGGGATCACATGCTGGACTGAGGACGAACGCACACACACACGCGCAGACACACGCACGCAGACACACACGCGCGCGCACACACACACGCACGCACACAGACACACACAGCCACAGACACACACACACACACACAACACGACCCGACCTTGAGCTTGACCTCCTCGTAGTTGCTGGCGGCCTGATTCGCCTTGGCCGTCTGCTCAAGATCAGCAAGGATGTCCTGATGCCCATTGGAACGAAATGGTGACGAGGGAGACGAAGATTGTGGAAGAGAGAGAGAGAGGGGGGGGGGAAGGTGAGGCGATTGAAGTCATGGGAGGAGCGGGATGAAGCAAGAAGAAACGCAAGGCAGACAGGCAGACAAGTAAAGAGGCAGACAAGCAGGCACACACACACACACACACACACACACACACACACACACACACACACACACACACACACACACACACACACACACACGTGCGCACCTTTTCCTTGCGTTCTGATTCATCGAGCAGAGACTTCATGCTGGCGTGGTGCGTCTCCAGCGCAACAGCATTCTGCTCCGTGCCCGCGCTCGCCCGCTTTGTCTCGTTCAGCTGCACACACACGCATGAAAGAAACGAGAGACGTAAGGCATAGACAAGGAAAGTGTTGTGGCACACTGAAACGGCCGCCAGAAGTGCAAGAAGCGAGCGAGAGAGCGAAAGAACGAGCGAACGAATCAGCAGACGCAAACAAACAAACAAACGAACAAGCAAACAAACAAACAAACAAACAAGCGCACACAAACGCGCGTGCACGCCATGTGTGACGACGGTGTGCACCTGCAAGTGTTCGCGGAGCATTCTGGAGATCATCTGCTGCGCCTTCAGACTCCGCTCCAACTCTTTCATTTGCTGTTGGGAATAAGCACACATGGGCGATGGTTTGAGCGCAAGCAAAGCAAAACCCATTGTACAAGCGAACACACACACACATACACACACACACACAGACATGGACATAGACACACACACAAGACGCGGACATAGACACACACATAAGACGCGGACCTTGTCCAAGTGTGCGAGGCCCTCCTTGTCAACGGGTTCGGGCGGCTGCTCATATGCCTCGACGGGCGGGGCCTGGCGCTCATGACGGAAGTCGCGGTGCTGCCGTGCAAGCCGCTCCCGCAGCGCATACACGTTGCTCACGTAGATGTCATCATCCGCAAGCTCGTCGTCAAACTGAACGTCGTTCTCCCCGGCCCGCGGCGCAGTCCTGTGTGCGCGCGCGCGTGCGTGTGTGCGTGTGCATTTGTGAGGGAGGAAGCAAGCACAAGGCATGTAGAGAGACAGGGCGCGTATGTGTCCGCGCAGCCACACAGAGCAGCAGCACTTACTTGTACGGGTAGGCCAGTGTTGTTTCCAGCTCCGCGTTGTAGTATGCCAGGCTCACAGATTGGAAGTGGCGAATCAAATCCTGCACACACACACACACACACACACAACAAGCGAATGGATGAGGATGCATGTATCGTCAGTCTTCCGGCAATGCACACACACACACACAGACACAGACAGACAGACAGACAGACGCATACACACACACACACACACACACACACACACACACACACACACACACACACACACCATTGTGCCAGCAAGCGCGGAGAGCGCAAACCAGAAGAGCACATGACATACCGCAACAGATGGGAAGGTCGTTGGTTCGGAGAAGCCAAACTTGCCCTTGCTCTCGACAATCACGATATGCCGCACCTCACTGTACACACGCACACACGCGCACGCAGAAATGAAGCAACCAAAGCATGTAATTGTGAGCACACACAAAGCCGCACGCTTGGATCGACATGCACGCGTGCTTGTGCATGTGCATGTGCATGCATGTTTGTGCTTGTGCTTGTGCGTGTGTGTGTACGTATGTGGTGTGACCGACTGACAGGAATTTGACGGTGAGGGTGAAGCCGCGTCGAGTTCGGCTCGCGCGAACGAGGAACGATCCGTCTGCAATTTTCACAGCGTCACACCAGTACACACGTGAGGCTTGGTCAAGACACATCCGTCATATCAAGGGCGTACACACACGCACGCACTTACACACATGCGCGTACGTTGCCACACATTCTCATCCCCTCGCCAAAAACACACACCTGCAAGCGGGGCCAGCGTTGCCTCTGCGGCGGCGCGGTCCATGTTGCCGGCGTACCACGCGTCGTCCATCACCTGCTCCTTCTGCGAGACCGTGTTCACTCGCGGGCGGGGCGTGCGCGGTGGGGGCGGCCGAGGCGATTTCGTCTGTACGACAAACACACATGGTCATGTACATTGGTGAGGATGTCATGCACACCAAGCACACGTCGCATCACACACATCGCGACACACACACATACACACACACACACACAGACGGACAGACAGACACAGACACAGACACACGCACCACTGTTGGCTGGCGCGGGAGGACGACGTTTTCGTAGTTTGACTGGGTCACGAGCGAGCTGGCCGGACGGCGCACAGAGGCCTTCCGACGCGGGTGCAGCGGTGGCGCAGCGCCCGAGGCCGTGGTGGGCAGCCCACCGCACTTGCACTTGCCAATGAGCAGCTTGACGGCGTTGCACTGTGCGGCGTGCTCCACCGCGGCCTTGCCCATCTCTCGGGGTGCAGGCATGAGGAACAGGTGGCCCCACGCCTTGCCGAGCGCCTCCGCATCAACCTTCGTCGACTTGTAGTTTCCAAGCACCCTGGGTGCACAAGCCAGGCGGGGATCGAAAACAAGTGTCGTGGCAGGGTGTGGGTGGGGTTGGTGGTGGCACAGCAAGCTACCAAACATGCGAGCAAGTAACGTACACACAAAACATAACACACCGACCGACAGACACACACACACACACAGACAGACAGACACACACACACAGACAGACACACACACATACCGAAGCAGACACACCCCGACACGCACAGAGACACAGAGACACACACAGACAGACACGCAGCACGACCAGCGGCGCCGCACCTGCCGAGGTGGGCGAGGAGGACCTCCATGATCTTCTGCCTCTGGGGCGGGAGCTGCGGCACGAGGCGGTCGAGCTCAGCCACCTGCTCGGCCTCCGTCGGCAGCAGCGCAGCGGCGATGAAGCGGTCGTACCACGCAAACGGCACCAGCGGCTCTGGCAGCTCGGCAAAGTAGCGCTTGAGCAGCGTTGCCACCACGTGTGCATCCTGGCCCTCAAGCGTCTTCTACTCAGGAGGGAGGAGGAGGAGGAGGAGGAGGAGGAGGAGGAGGAGGAGGAGGAGGAAGAGGAGGGGAGGGCGTTTGAAAATGCGTATTAATACCATCGCAAGCTGAACACCAGCAGATAACACACACACACACACACGATAGAGATGCCATTGGGACGTACGTTTGGGTCCATGAGGAGCTCTGCCTGCAGGACGCGGACACGCGACACGTTGCCCATCTGAACATACAGATGCTGGTGGTGATGATGATGATCGATGATTGATGGTGATGTGTCGTGTGTGAGTTCCAGGCGAAGACGATGCAGAAAAATGGAAGCGTGTAGGGAACCGGGGCATGGAACATGGGGATGAAAACGCCAACAAGCACGCTGGTAGACAGGGAGGTCGACACCAAATAGAAACGCACACGCACATTGACGCACAACCTCAAACATGTGCACATGAATGAGTGAACAAAAAAAACGGACACAAGGGCAGGGGCGAGCGGGCGTACCGATGTCTTGAGGCCCTTTCCGCTCTCCAGCGCTTGAATGCACTTCTCAATGACAATGGGAACCTCTTTGCCCGTGTGCATCTGCCCTTCCAGCGGCACACCAAACATGTGCCCGCACTCTGCACACACACATATGCAAGCGACGGTGATGAGACCAAAAGTTGCAACGTGATAACGACGGCAAGGGAGCAGCTACGCACACACACAAAAACAAACTAACAGACACATACACACACACACACACACAAACAGACACACACACACACACACACACACACACACACACGTATACACAGAGCGCATGACGCACTTGCTCCGGCGGGGAGTGGGGAGTGTGTGATTGCCATTTCGGGCTGGCAGGACGGCACCTGGTACAGGTACTGTCGTGACACATTGTACCCACACACTGTTGGTTTGGTGTGTGTGTGTGCGTGTGTGTTGTATACGTGTGTTGTGTGTGATATGGTTTGTTGTGAGATGTGGCACGACGGGGCGCGTGATCATCAGTCACGAACGTCTCTACAGCAGCAGGACAAGCAGCAGAATAGCGTGACGCCAGTTCATGTTATGTGCAGCAGCATGCATGCCTGCGCACCTGTGCACTGGAGGCCCTGTGTCTGCAGGCCAAAGAGGGGCTTGAGGCTTGAGTCACACCACGTCATGTTGGCGTAGCTCTTCAGCTTGAACCGGTGGCCCTTCACAACAACAACGCTGTCGTGTGGATCCTCAATCTGCCCCGCATACGTGCGCATACGAGTACCAACGTGAGAGTAGTGTGAGGGGTGAGGGAGGGAGTGAGGAAGGGAATGCAAAAAGGGAGGATACGCACGCGTATGTACATGCGCGCGTGTGGCGCCACTGACGACGGCGCGATGAAGAAGCAGAACAATTTCCAAACACACACGAAAGTCACACACACACACACACACACACACACACCGGGACGAGGTCCATAATCTGCACGGGGTCAAACTCCTCAGTCTTTGAGAGCTGGCAGCGCTGCTGGAACGTCATCGATGCCTGCAGGCAACAAGGAACATTGGAGATGCACGAAATGAGCCCCGGGGGGGGGAAGCGACCACCACTCTTGAGACGCAGTGTTTCGCACTCCCATAAGCACATCAAGCGCAACAAGCACGACAAGCACAACAACAACACCAACACCAACAAAAGACGTACGGTGTTTGTTGTCTGCCCCAGAATCTCCTCGATGCACGCCATCACCATCTTCCTGTGCGGTGTATCATCAACCCCGAGGCTTTGCAGCTTCTTGTGGTTCAGCGACTTGAGCTTCCCGCCAGTCACTCCTTTGTCCAGAAACAGCAGCGCGTAGTCATTGAGCTTCGTCTGCAGTGCGGTTGTGCACGTGGTGTGTATGTGTGTGTGTGGGGTGGGAGGCGGATGAGGTGAGTACGTGACAGCCCAGAGGCCATAGCATGCTCAGATGGCACACCGATACACGAAGAAAACATGACGCAAACAAGCGCGCGCACACAAGCCGGCATGCACAAAAAAAAACCACACACACACACACACAAACGAGGCAACATGCACACACACACACACACACACACACACACACACGAACGAGGCAACATGCACAAACAAAGCACAAGCGCGCACACACACACACACACACACACACACACGCACGCACGCACGCACGAGGCAACGCACCGCGACCATGAAGAGGTGCACGTCCTCCACAGTCCAGTCATCGATGGGCCGCGATGACGGGCGCACAATGTTGCGGTTGGGAATGCACTCTGAAGCGCTGTTGTTCTCCACAAAGAACTTGCTCCGCTTGTGGCACGTGAAGCCACACACTGCACGGCACATTGGCGAGACCAGCTGTGAGCTGGGTCACACAACTGACCATGTTCACGCAATCGGACACGCACACCATGCCATGCGAACACAATTGCAACACAACCGCTTTCACACCTGCATGCACACACACTCACACACAGACACTTGCTTAACACCCGCCCACACACACACACACACACACACACACACACACACACACACACACACACACACACACACACACACACACACACACACACCAGTGCATTGGACGGCCTCGCCAGCCATGCCAGCTCCCCAGATAAAGGCATGCGTGTGCCAATCGACCGTTGGCACGGTAACTGTGATGGGCTCAAACTTGTGGCCCACGCCAGCTTGCTTATAGGGCTGCACATAGCTCCAAGGGAAAGCGCCCTCCTTCAAGTTGCGGCGCGAGACGCCTGTGCCCCATTCACCTGTGACCAGCAAACAGCGGCGCTATGAGTCATGGCAAACACCTCAAACACAGATAATAATGGATGTGCAAAGGTGCACTGCGCTGCGCCATGCCATGCACACACACAGACACACAGACACACATCCCACATCCCACACATCCCCCATCCACCCACCCACCCACACACCCACACCCACACCCACACACACACACCCACACCCACACCCACACCACCACACACACACACACACACACACACACACACACACCACACCCAACACGCAGCCACACCTTCATGTACAACGTAGACATCAATCAGATCGCCAGCCTGCAAGTCCAGTTCGTCGTCCTCTTGTGCCTCAAAGTTGTAGAGGGCCCGGAAGGTCTGCACCTCCTGATTCTCGGCCATGGTTGGCTGGTTGGTTGGGGGCAGATGGC